GAGAGATAAATAAGTCTGAGAATTTCAGAGATGCCTCTCGAGATTTGCATGGCCGATTTCCACTAAAATTAATGGACATGCAATACTTCAAAACCTTATAGGTAACTTAGAGAAGTCTGGAAGCTAATGCTGTGACCATACATTGAAAAATAAAACAGTCTAAAACAAACTACCATCCATGTCCCTTTATTATGGTTAATGTGGATAGGATTTTCAAAGATTTCCCCCTCTAAAATGATGTGAAACTGTGATTAAATTACTATTTTTAAGGCTCTAGACTATTATATGACCAAAAGAAGGCAAACACCTTCTGAACATGATGAACAAAGTTTTGCACTCAGATGCATAAGAAGAGTTACTCATTACTTTTGTGTGGAGGGACCCCAAATAAATTGAGGGCAGAATATTTATTAAAATGCATGCTGTGATTTGTTCTATTTTGCTACTTAATGGAAGAATACTTGCAACCGATGACTTTTGCTCTTAACAAATATCGGCTTTCACTTTGGTGCTTTAGCTTACCACTAAAGTCTTTTTTTTTTTTTATTGTTTTGAAATACTCTGCCAGGAACATTTCCATTAAACAACGATAATATGAAATCAAGCTACTTGATAAACTTTGTATGGGATGTTTTGAATATTTAGCTACAACTGCCTCAGTAAGCAAAATATTAATGATTGTGTTGGGTGAATGATGTGAGCAGCCTGAAAACGGACTAGCAAGAATATGGTAGCAATTGGGAGGTGATAATTAATGGAAGCAATGGAAATATTGCAGAGAACAGTGAGAATATAATGATATCACTCATGCTCTGCTTTGATCATTTCAGCCCATTATTCTTACTGTTCCATGACATCTTTTAATTTAGTGAGACAATATATTGATAACTGTGGTAAAAAAATAAATATATACTATTCCACTTAATTACATTCGTCCTGAGCTTGGCTCAACTGTACTACAGTGCCTGTTTAGTACAGGAAACCACCTGACAATTTACATTTTTTTTTTTTACAGAAATTCTTCCTTCATTTACATTGCAAAAGACAGTTCTTTTTCCTTTCCCATTTTGAAAATATAAATATTTTGTGACACTAGAATTCAATATAAAGAGAAACTGGTGTACTATAGGAGTGTTGCCTTGTGTGTCTTTACAATGATCAGTGTGGGGATTTGAAGCGGGGGATGGGGGGAGCGGGCGGGACTTTAGAATGTGTTTACTGCTGATTTCTATAGACCCCAATGATAATCTCTTTCAGATGGAACTGATATAAAAGGAAATCAGTTTAGAGTGTCTCATTTTTATGCTTTTCTTTTTGCCAATTTAGCCCTGTGTTAAAAAAAAAAAAATCCTAGAAATCCTGAATAATTATCAGAAATCCTAGGATGTCTTCTAGCAAAAGGCAGATTTCTGACCGTACTCCTCCATTACTCAAGGCTTCATGATGGTGGGTTTTTTCTTTTTTTAAATTAAAGTCTTTATAAAGCTTTCCTCCCTCCCTCTTTCCTTAAGTGCAAATGTCAACTCGGTCAGAATCCAGTAACTCAGTGGGTGACAATGAGATTAACGAAGTGCTAACCTGACCATTGGCAGACTCTGACTTTAGTTGGCATATCACAGCATGAGGTTATTTTATTCTGCTAAGGAAAATGGACTGGAGAGCAGATGACTCTTAGACCTCCTGTAATGCATGTCTAACTGTGCTTACTTTCAAAGCTAGGGAAGGCGCCTGTTCTGGACAGTCTTCTCATAGATAAGTTGTCTCCTCTACTCTCTGGCTTGGATGACTTACTCCTCTGGAATGGATTTCGTGGGCCCGTTGTGTTACGCTGAGTATCAAGTTTATCGCTGATAGAGTAGCTTTTCCTTGTGTGTGCATACAACATGTTGGACTCATCTGCTGAATAACTGTTGGCCCGTTCTATTTTTGGAAGTGGTATGTTGTTGGACAGCGTTCTTGTTGTGCTGCTTTCTTGAGGAGATAAAGAAGCCCCCCTTTTGTCTTTGGTTTCAATATCCTCATTTTCAGAGCATGGGTGACTTAGCTCCGCTTCTCTCTCTGGGTGACAGCATCCCAAGTCATCTACTTTATCTCCATGATTTCCCGGAAAATTGGATCTTTCAGCAATGGTCTGGGGAGCACTGACGCACCTGGTGTCTATACAGTCTGTAATACTTGTGTACTCTGCTGTTTTGACTGGCATCCCTAGGCTGCTGAAGTAGCTCCGAGAAGGAGAGAACATAAAACTATGAGATTTTACGATTGGGGTTTCCTCTAGAATAAATGGGGCAGTAGCTAGATAGCGACTGCTTTTAGATCGCTCTAAGGTCTGATACAAAGGCGGCTCTGAATCCCAGAGGTTTTGGGTATCTGTGATATGTGAATAGTCTGAAGAAAACACTCTTGTTTCTACTGTAGAGGTTTCCTCACAATCAATACTCCTGCCAGAAATTCTGTCACTGGGAGTACTACTAATATAGGTGCTGTTTGCTAGAACTGAAGAGGCTATTTGAGCCTGCAGAGATGGGTCGCCAGTACCAAGTATATTAATTGAACTGTCGAGAGGTTCTATTCCAGAATGCAATTCATCCATAGCAGAAACATAAATATCTATGCAAGATGAAGGCCTTCTGGAGTCTGGGGCGATTGACAAAGTGCTTGTAGGGGCTAACGGTACTTTTGCTTCTTTCGATACCGAGTGTGAGCTACTGGCTCGATGCAGGCTCACGGACCTTTCTTTAAAAATGTTTTCCAACCTCTCTAACCCACATTTGTCTTTCATATTCACTGCATAAAACGAGTGGCTTCGCAGGCGGGGTGTGACGGTAGGAGAGGTCGGGGACATTGACTCCTCTCCTGCAGGATCTATGCTCTCTTGAAGCTTGTAAGTGTTCCCTTCCTGGCTATTGAAGCTGCTCTGTCTCACAATGTAGGCTGCATCTGTGCAGTCTGAGGAGGTTCTAGATCGTATCTTAGTAGTTTCCCCTCTCTCTATACCAGTCAGCTTGTCTAAGGCTGCAGCCATTCGTCCTATCACGTCCTCCAGCTGAGCAAGCCGGATGTCTACAGTCTGAAGTGAAGCCTTCATACAATGTTCTCGCTCGTTCACTTCCTCCAGACGCATGGCCATGTTCTCTACCCTTCAAAAGAAGAACATATGTAGGGTTATTTTCTACAGGAGAGTGATTGTTAGTGTCATTTTATTAGCCTGCCAAAGTGTATGGGAACAGATAGTGATTAAAAAGTCCAGGTCAAATGTTCTGTTCTTCTCTAATTTTTATACTGTAGCATCTACTGCAAAGCCGGGTTGGGGGGGCACAGCTGAAAGTTGTAACTCAAAGTGAGGAATCAGCTCAAAAAGTCTATAGGCTGGGTGGCCTGCTGAGGTGAGTCAGGGCATGGTGGTGGTAATTCCTTCCTAGAGCTCTGCCATGTGGGGCTGGCCCAAACAGTTGGCTTGCCCCACCTGGCATTGCTCACCCCCCCAAATGTTACTCTGTGCCCCCTTGGAGAGCGTCAGATGTCTCTCACCTTGTGACCTTTAAATTGTGTCTGTCCCCCTCAAGAGTATACATGTTGCCTCTGGGTACAGTAATAATTCTTAAATATTTTAGGGGAAAGATAGCCCAGAATTAAGGATCCAGTTTGGGTTGTGGGACACCATGGGTCAAGTGCCTACATTTCCTGTCTGACTTTGGGCAAACTGTTTAAGGGCAGATTTTTAAATATAGTCATTAGGGATGATTTCAATGAGCAGATCCTAATAACAAATCAGGGGTGGGCAATAAATGTCCAGCAGGCTGGCTGCAGTTCACCAGGGTTAGCCTATGGTAGGTCACTGGACCTTCATATACCTGTACATCCTCAGGTACAGCCACTTGCATCTCCTGTTGACAGTGGATTGCCATTCCCTGACAATGGGAACTGCAGGAAATGGTGTCCTAGTCTGTGCCACTTCCCACAGCTACTGTTGGCTGGGAATGGTGATCTGCAGCTGCAAGTTGGAGCTGCAAGTTGAGGTTGGAGCTGCAAGTGGCCATACCTGTGAATGCGCAAGTAAATAAAGTGTCCAGCAGCCCGCCAAGGGCTAACCCTGGTGAACCATGGATGGCCTGAAGACTGTTCATTGCTCAACCCCACCTTAAAAACTATTAAGGTCTGATCCTCCTCTTTTTGGAGTCAATGGCAGTTTTTTTCATTGGCTTCAAAACAGGACTTGACTGTCAATTAGAAAGCAATGTTTGCAGAATAGACTGAGCAAATGGCTGCATATAGTTTAAGTAAAGTAATTTATCCTCATGTAAATATATAATGCTTCACTGCCAGGCTGCTGAATTAAGCTGCTTGCTGACAGTCATATATTGTTTATTAAATAAGGATTCCAAAGAGAATGGATTGTAACTCTTCTACAAGAGGAACTTCATGTAAAAACATATATCAATCTCAACTTGCTCTCCCCCATGGGCTCCCGAAGATGCAACAAGGTTAACCTTTCTAGCTAATATAATAAGAGGAACCACCTTTCAACTTTGTGTTACTTTTCATTTTTGTCTCCAGAAGCATGCATTAACACATAGATACTATTGTGATGAATGCCTGAGAGCTATTAGTGAGGTAGGTAGATATTTTTCTAAGCTATTTGACTAGTGTGCACTATCAACTTTTGGGATTAGCTAAAATATTGTTGTCCCCCCCCCTTCCCGATTCAGTTTTTCATTATAGGTTTCTATGACAAACTGGTGAGAGTAGAAAAGATTGTACACACTAAGACAGGTGATGCTTTCAAGGTTAGAGCAAAAGGGGCCGGTGCCTTGGGGTCAGCAATTTAAAAGGGCCTGGACTCCCAGATGCCGCTATCTCAGCAATGGCTGAAGCTACCGGTCCCTTAAATTGTCACCAGAGTGCCAAAGACTAGGCAGCTCTGAAGGGATGTCTGGCGGAGGAGAGCCCTCAGTTCCACCTCTTCCACCCAAGGCCCTGCCCCTTCCAAGGGCCCGGAGCTAGGCCCACCCGATCTTGCTCAGGGATCCAGCAGTTCTGTGAGCAGCCCTGCATGGAAACCAAGTCTGAACTCCTTTGTGGTGTGTTTTATTGTGAATAGTACATAGGGCTTTCCCTTCAGCTACAGCCCAAGGTAAAGGTGTAAGTTTTATTAATTCATCCATAGAAGTCAAAAGGAAAGATCAAGGCCCAGATTCAGTAAATGCTTAAGCATGTGTCTATCCGTAACATACATAATGCAAGTGAAGCATAAATTTGTTTTGCAGGATTAGGGCTTGAAGTATGGTTGATTTCCATCAAGGTATAGGAACTCCCACCCCAAACTGTTTTCTAATTTCTTCTCTCTTCCTAGAGATTACTTCCCCTAATTCTCACTGCAAGACTCAGTCCTGCTCTCACATCCCCCCACCAAACTCTACACATCTCATCTCCTCTTGTAGTATTATTGGAGACGTTCTTTAATTCATTCATTCCCCATAACTAGCCTGCCTGCATCTATAGTATGTAACTATTGTCCTTTCTCGACCTAGGCCACAGAACAGACTCTGTAAACGCAGTCACACATGCACAAGGTTCAATAAGTTGTTTAAGAAGCTAAAGCATCAATCCTGGATGAGGTGGGCAGCACATGTGAGCAAAGGGTGTCAGGGAGCCTGATTCTGAGCCATCTGGGCATGTCAGGACAACAGGGGAGCAGCTCTGACTTATACCACAAGCATGAAGTACCATTTTACACTACTGAGGGACTTGGAATAGCAAGGTTCTGCTGTGCTGCTCTCCCCTTTTACTCTCCTCCCCCATTCATCACACTAGGGGTTGGAGAGGTAGGAGTGGCTTATTCAGGAGGTGGCAGAGCTGCCTTCTTCCTGCTGGGAGACCGTTCCCCAGCTCAGGGAATTCTCCACAGGCCTTTTGCTGTTTCAAGTCCACTTTATGGCACACAAAGTAGATTTAGTGGATTTAAGACAGCCTTGCATATAATTCAAGGTTGTAATGGATATAATGCTCTATAGCCTCTGCTATAGGATAACGGCCAGGCATTGGGATAGAAAAGTGATAGGGTGTGTAAATACCTATAGCTTCAGTCTTCTGCAGCTTATTAATTTCTATTGAGTTAGCCCGGAGTTATGTAGCTGGAGAGGGTTTGGGGCATTCCTTAGTTTGTGGTAAGAATAGATAGGTTAGATTTATGTTCCTGGTTCAGAACAATTAGATAGAGTCGAGGTCCAGATCCAAAATTTCCCAGAGTTCAAGATGGCGGGAAGGAACTGGGGAAGATATGTGGTTCTAGTTCATAAAATGTGTTTTACCAAAAATACTAACTAAAATAATTGGGGCTATTTAAAATATCTGAGCAACCCCAATCTTAGCTATTAGAGATATTAGAACCCGGGTCCTCCATGTTCTAATGCAGCTATAATGTGAGGACCCGGGTTCTAATATCTCTAATAGCTAAGATTGGGGTTGCTCAGATATTTTAAATAGCATAATTGGAAGAGACATTTTTTTTAAATAAATTACAATTATTTCTTTCTTTGTCTCTTCAAAAACATAAACAGAAAGAATTAGAGTTTTTATTGGCTCATATGAGTTAGTTATGAATACAATGACTGGATATTGGCATGAAATATTTATTAAGAACAATGCCTTGAGTCAATAGACATGCTCTGTGATGGGGAGCTCAAACTTAACTAAATTGCTCATTTACTGTGGTTATGAAGGCTACCTAAATACCCATTTAAAAACAGAGAGAAGAGCGAGATCTGAGATCTGTGTTGGGAATTTGCCAGGAAACAAAGAATTTACATAAAATGGAGTTGATTGCAGTTACTTAAATCGTTGAGAGAGAGATAGAAAACAAACACTATGGTTGAAATGCTGGTCCCATCAAAATAAATGAGTAAATGGCAGAACTCCCATTCCACTCCACAGGTTCAGACATCCACTGCTCTTGACCACTCTATGTGGGCTATATCTCAGCACTAAAACTACAGGTTGCCTTAGAGAGCATAATAGCCACAGTGAGACTCTAGGTTGTATTTTAACCACCAATGTTCTAGGGGTATGATTTGGAAAGCTAGGATATAAGAAGAATACATGGATTTGTTATTTATATTATTTTCTAGCTGGGTTGACTAAATATTTCATACTTTCTTAATCTGTATGAAAATCCATAGTAAAAAAAGGGGTACATTTTCCAACCAACTGTAGTTTCTAGGCTTAAAGGTTAATTAAAAAGTAGCCAAGGAGAGGAAAAAAGAGTAGCAATGGTAACCGGAACACATTTAAAGATACATAATGTATTGAATAAATACAACCAAACCACATAAAAAAATCACCTTTCAGAAGTGACACGTATTCTTTCATCATTGGACGAATTGAATCTATCATCCTTTTCTCTAAAATATTCTTCTATGCACTGCTCCTCAAAGTCATGCACTTTTTTCAGTTCATCTTCGGTTATGAATAATTCTGTGGAAATGATAGGAGGAGTGTAACACTGACTAAGTACACATTTATAAAAAACAAAATCTTGATTTTTATTATTGTAGAATGTTGGCAAAACTTTTAAAAGCTGTATCTAAATCACATACTTTTGTATGAGAATCAGCTACTAAATTATCACCCTTAGCCATCAGGTAGGCTGATAAATATTGTGCACACAGAACTACTGATGCAAATTTTAGCAGTTGGATGAATGTGACTTTGAAAATGTCATCCTACTTTTCTACAAAATCATTATAAGGGTTTGATGAATTCGTTTAAAATAAGGCCTCACCCTTAGCCAAATTTGAACTCTAAATTTGAACCTGTGGAACTCCTTGCAAGAGAATGTGGTGAAGGCTAGGACTTTAACAGGGTTCAAAAAACAAACAAACAACTAAATAGATTCATGGGGGTTAGGTCCATCAATGGCTATTAGCCAGGATGGGTAGGAAAGGTATCCCTAGCCTCTGTTTGTCTGGAGGTGGGTGACGGGAGGGATCATGTGAGGAATATCTGTTCTGTTCCCTCCCTCTGAGGCATCTAGTATTGGCCGCTGTTGGCAGACAAAATACTGAGCTGGATGGACCACTGATCTGACCCAGTCTGGCTGTTCTTATGAACCGTATCTTACTAGGAAAAGTTTGGGCGAGTTTTTTTATTTCTAACATCTTCCAAACAAAGACTATTAATTTTATTTAAATTCTTAGCATCTCTGCTGGGCCCAGTGCTGTTTTCAAAATTTTCAAGTTTCATCATTCCCTGTTGTCAAGTGGAAGGAATAAGAATATGTTTGTATATTCCAACCAAAGAGCCAAACTGCATTAAAATACAGATACACTGGTAAAATTGAACGATTAATTTCAGGTAGCATTTGTGTGCCTATGTAGTTGTTTCTCAATGAAAAGATTATTATAATACTTAAGTACAGGTTATATGTATCCTTCAAACTTTGAGGACCATCAAATGAATTTGAAAGTCATGTTTTTTCTCTAAAGGTGTGAGTTGGCTGAATCTTACTTAGTCCATAGTCTCTCTCATCTTGGTCACTTTCATGTTTCCGCCATCTGCAGCAGAGGTGTTGGAAAATCATAGTCATGTGGCTGAAAATGATCAGAGGAGGTGGTAGGACTGGCCGTTCATGAAAAGTCATGATTAATTGATACCTCTGAAATTTCCACACTTGGTTGGATATAGATTTGACTTCAAAAAAAGTGTTGCTAAAAGAAAAAGGAGAGAGATAAAGGAAAATAAAGTGAGATTGAAACCATCTTCTGGTATTCCTCCACATAATACAGTTCCTAGCAAGAGAGATTTTTCATAAAAAAAAACAGGACAAGATATACACCATTCTCTCAAGAAAGCACAATATCTGTACCATCCATTTCAAACATAGGAATGACAGAATATCAATATATAAACCCTTTACACCATTAGTTAGGCTCACAAAATGTTGTTATCCACATTTTTTGTATGGGTAAAGTGAGACACAGAAAAATTAAGTGAATGTGTACCACAGATGAAATTAGAATGCAGGACTTCCTTGATCTTAGTTCCAATGGATCTCTGTAGTGTGGACAGCACACATTCTAAAGGATTAGATAGCCACCTCATATCCTGGAAACCGATGGACCGACATCAGCTGGCACCCCTCACCATTCGAATACCTTAGTTTTTATTGTATTTGTAGCCTGTTTCAGGTCTTTGATTCATGATTTGCATGCATGATTTATTCTGGTCATATAAGAGGATACATTTGCATGCTAGATTCTATACATCTGTATTTATTCTTGCCATATGTAAGCCAATTTAAAAATCCTGTAAAATTACAGAAACATTTTAATTTTAAAAATAACTGAAATGTGCTAATATCAATACTTGAGACATTTTGCTTAAAACATTTTATTTTCCCTTTTTACACTATCAAAAGCAGTACTCCATGCTGATGCCCCTTCAAGCCCAGGACTACAGGTAGACATCAGGTTCACCTGCCACTTTATTGGTCCCTGTCTGGAGACAATCTACTCTGTCACTCCCACCTGTAATAAATCTCCCCAGGGAACAGCATAGCAGCCTGCAAAGGCTATCATGCTAGCCAAATCATCATTCAGACCCCAGGACCTCTGGATAGTAAAGGGAGCCTATGAATTCATCAAAAGAATTTCATATAAAGTCTGTAATTAAAGCCTGCATCACAGTGGTCATCATATCTATTGCAAAAGAGATGTATGAATGTTGCATAAGGAGCTGTGTGTATATACTTAAAATTATGTTCTTAAGCTGCGTGATTAGGGACTGGTCACCAGAAAGGTGAAAGGCAGGGTTTTTTTTCAGGTGGTGGCGACAGCTTCATAACACATGGAGCCCCAGGAAAACATTACCATCACAACCGCCTGAATCCACATGCATCAGTCTGCCACTCACTTAAAAACAGCAATGAGAAGGTTCACCAGAAGGATATTTGCAACCAAGAGATAGCATGCCATGATGGCAGGAACGATCCATGCTCCTGTCTTGCAGGGGGGCAGCTGGATTATTTTGCCATCCTCTCTAGTTTCATTTTGGCCACAAGGAGCTGGGAAGAAATGGTATAAACAAACAAATGAGACAGAAACCTAATTTTCAGCATAAACTATGAAACCGTTTAAATATTTATGAACGTTCCCTCCCAATCTTCCAAAGCACAGTGGGATGATGCTTCCCCAAGAGGTTTTGGTTATGCACTTGCCTCATGCTGTGATCAAACACCTGTCAAATTCACTATAGATTATACAAGCAAGCTATTGCTCTTGATATTGAATGCTCTTCTGTTAGCAGCATCAAGATTTTCCCTGAGAAATTTCAAGAAGTCTATATAGTTTGAGTGGGTTTAGTTGAAGCTGCCCATCCCTCATTAAGTTGTCAAGCTGCTTCTGAAATAGTGCTATTCACTGGTGGTAATTATAAGTTTGCATCTGAACTGACCAAAATGCTTATCCCTATGAGCTAGCGTTTATTTTCTGTTTGCAATGAATATTTTGGCTTTTGCTAATTGATCTGCAGTCCCTTCTATCAACAGCACAAAGGTATTAGATTCTTGAGCAATTGTAATGGCCAAATAATTTCATATGAGAACCATCATGGAAAAATGTTTATAATGACCCTTTGCTATAAAGGACTTTTGACTGCCTGCTTAGAATAATGCAGGAGATAATCAAGTATTTATTGTACCAGGCATAGGATCACGTAGGCAGTGGCGCTTTTAGATTCAAACACATTCTGTACTAATTTTGTGGAAGTGTGGGGGAAGGGAGAAAGGATTTTTTAAGTTTTCTGATAACATTTTGTCTAGAGACTTCCCTTTATAAATATGAATTCAGTTCATAACTCCGATTGGCCTTTTGGTCTCAAGAAATCTACATCCCCGTCTTATCCATTTAAGCACTCTGTCATCATTAAAAGCTGGTCTGAATAAGGCAATGTAAAAAAAAAGTGTTCCAAAATACTACAGCAGCCCCATTAGCTTGATACATTTAATACTGTTATATTTGGTAAGGTTCTTCTTGAAGATCAGCAAGAGAAATGAAGTGCTGAGTAGCCTTTTGTGAGACCATAAACCCACCAAGGTTGGCTATAGCAGCCATGGCCTCAATATATCCACCACATCAGCCGTGTTTTAAAATGGGCCTTAGCTGTCAGGGAAAAGGTATGTAATGTCAGAGCTCCTTCTTTGCTTTGGATTCCTGGAGCAACTTAAGTGGTGAGCCTTATAACATGTGGTGGTCCCTGCTCTCACCATGTTACTTGGCGACTAATTTTTCTGTACCTTTCCTGTACTGAAGAAGTGGCTTACATATATCCCCTCAATATTAGCATGACACAATGAACATTATTGATAGCTTTTCACCATTCCCTTCAAAGAAGATCAAGATTTAAGGTGCGATTTTTCAAACGAACTCAGCATTGGCCTAATAGTTCTCCTACTGAAGTCAATGGAGTTTTACCACTGGCTTCAGTGGGATCAGAGTTTGGCAAACACTGAGCACCTCTGAAAAGAAATAGTACTTGATTTGTACATCACAGATTTTCTGATGTAGGTGAGATTTTCAAAGTGTTTACTCTGGGCCTGACCCACAAACTACTGGAATCAGTTGTGGATGATATATTGTTATTTGTGTGGTATCAAGTAGTCCTGAGGCTTTGGTTTTTTGGACAGTGTTTGAAAATGTTATCCTGTTAAATCTGTACTTGATGCAGTTATAGGGAGAGGTGAATATTTGACTTACTACCCCAGGGTAAAATATACAACCACCACCCAGAGAAAATGCTTAACATTGTCAAAACAATCAATTTCACGTATACCCTTCTGCAAAAGCTGTGCTTTGTATGTAGCCATGTGCATATGCTAATGCTCATTATTAGTCTTCC